GAAATAGTTAAAATAATTACTATTATATAATACTTACCAGTGTATATAGTTCCCCAAATATCAAAAAGGCCTGTCTGCAGTTGGCTTATTTAAATCAAGACCCAAACAATGTCTACACATTATTCTTTTTTCTTTTTCACTCCTCCAAGTATTTATTAACCACCTGATAAGATCATTCCAATTCTGAAGAGGGGCAATGCCAAAGAATGTTCAAGCTACTGTACAACTGCGCTCACCTCACATGCTAGTAAAGTTTTGTTCAAAAATCTTCAAGTAGACTTTAGCAGTATGCGAACCAAGAACTTAGATGTACAAGTTGGGTTTAGAAAAGGCAGAGGAAACAGAGATAAAATTCCCAACAGCCACTGAATTACAGAGAAAGCAAGGGAATTCCAGAAAAATAATCATTGATTATGCTAAAGCCTTTGACTCTGTGGATCACAACAAACTGTGAAAATCCTTAAAGAGATGGGAATACCAGACCACTTGTCTCCTGAGAAACCTGTATATGGGTCAAGAAGCAACACTTAGAACTGGTCATAGAACAACTGACTGGTTCAAGATCGAGAAAGGAGTATGACAAGACTGTATGTTGTCCACCTGTTTATTTAATGTATATGCGGAGTACATCATGTGAAATGACAGGCTGGACGAATCACAAGCTAGAATCAGATTGCTGGGAGAAATATCAACAACATCAGATATGCAGATGATACCACACTAGTGGCAGAAAGTGAAGAGGAACTAAAGAGCCTCTTGATGCGGGTGAAAGAGGGTAGTGAAGAAGCTGGCTTAGAACTCAACATTCAACAGACTAAGATCATGGCACCTGGTCCCATCACTTCATGGCAAATAGGAGGAGAAAAAGTGGACGTAGTGACAGATTTTATTTTCTTGGGTTTCAAAATCACTGTTGACAGTGACTGTAGCTATGAAATTAAAGTTTGTTTTAGAGAAAGCAGGGATATAATCTATTCTCTTATTCCCATTTGCTTTATAACCATTAACTCCCAAGTCCACATATTCATCATAATAACTCCTCTAATTCATACTGACAAGGCCATCTTCCTTTTTTTCTTTTTTTGTGTGTGGTAAACAACATAAAATTGACCATGTTCACCAATTTAAAGTGTACAATATTGTTATGTATATACACACTGTTGTGAAAAAGATCTCAAAAAATTTTTCACTGTGCAAAACTGAAACTCCAGACCATTAAACAACTCTTTTTCTCTTTCCTTATGGCAATTACCATTCTCTGTTTCTATGAATCTATCTTACACTTCATATATATGGAATCATTTTTTTGTGACTGGCTTATTTCAATTAGCATAATGACTTCAAGGTTCATCCATATTGTAGCAATGTGGCAGGATTTCCCTCCTTTTACAGGCTGAATAGTATTCTACTGTATGTACAGACCAGATTTTGTTTATTCATTTGTCCACTTTTTGGCTATGATGAACAGTGAGTGCTGCTAGGAACAAGGAGCAGGAACAATTGAGATCCTACCTTCAATTCTCTGGGATATATACCCAGCAGCGGATTTGCTGGACCATTGGTAGCTCTATTTTTAATTTTTTGAGGAACCTCCAAACTGTTTTTCATGGTGCCTGGACCATTTTACAGTCCTACCAATAGTGCACAAAGGTTCCAATTTTTCCATATCCCCTTCACCAACGTTTGTTGTTTTTTAAAATAATGGCAATCAGAATGAGTGTGCTTTTTTATTGAAATTTTAACAAAATGTCTACCTCATGTCTCATAGTAAAATATATTGCTCACTTAAGAAAAATTTTAAAACAGGGATTTAAAAAATTATCATTAGCTTCACAGTCCAAATAGAACAGCTATTAAGCATTTTGATACATATTCCTCTGAGCCTGTATGTATGCTCAGTTGCTCAGCTGTGTCCGACTCTGTGCGACCCCGCGGACTGTAGCCTGCCAAGCTCGTTGTCCATGGGATTTCCAGGCAAGAACACTGGAGTAGGGTTGCTATGCCCTCCTCCAAGGGATCTTTCCCACTCAGGGACTGAACCTGTGCCTTCTGCATTGGCAGGCAGATTCTTTACCACAGAGCCACCAGGGAAGCCAGATTATATTTTAGGAGAGATAAATAAATTGATTTCTAAACGCAAACAAAAACAGGGAGAAGAGTCTTACATACCGATAAAAATATTTTTGCCTTCACTGAAATCTCCTTGTTTAACATTTCAATGACTTACCATGTTTAACTCATTTTTAAAATAAAGGAGTCTTCAAGGACTGCCTCACTGTTTTTAGCCTTTTCTGTTATGAAATAGAACACACAGACACAAGTCCACAAACACAAGTACAGAACAACTAAGCTGCTACAAGGCAAGCACTCATGTTACCACCGCCCGGGTTTGACAAAGAACACTCCCACAGCATTCCTCAGGACCACTGTCTTGACCTTGACAGCAACACTTTCTTGTTCTTTCTTGTACCTTTACCACCTACATTTGCCTTCTTTAGCACTCTCTTTGAGGTCTGCCTCTCCTTGAACTTCATATTAATGAAATTACACAGTATATATACCCTTTCACTGGAGTCTTTCATTAAGCATTATACATGTGAGGTTCACACACAGCGGGCTTGTTATGGTTCACTCATTTGCACTGCTATCTGGTACTCTATTCTTTAAATACATCACAATTTTTAAATTAATTCTACTACTAATGGACACTGGGTTATGTCTAGGGTTTGACTATTATGAACCATGACGCTATAGCTATTCTCATACGTGTCTCCTGGCACGCAACGGCATGAATTCACGTTAGGAGTACACCAAGGAGTCAAACAGTGTACATTTGTTCAACTTTAGCACACAGGCCAAACTTTTACTGAAAGTAAAACTGAAAGTGCTAGTCAGTCACGTCTGACTCTTTGCGACCCCGTGGGCTGTAGCCTACCAGGCTCCCCTGTCTATGAATCCTCCCAGCAAGAACACTGAAGTGGGTTGCCATGACTTCTTCCAGGGGATCTTCCTGACCCAGGGACTGAACCACACCTCCTGCATTGGCAGGCTGGTTCTTTATCACTGAGCCACCAGGGAACCCCAAAAGTTTTGCACTGCCCTGTCTGAGGTTTGAACTCAGGACCTTCAGATTATGAGACTGACGTGCTGCCTACTATGCTCATGTGCATTCAAATACAACCCCGAAATGCAGCTCTAAAAACACAGTACTAGAACACAGAGCCCCTGAGGCCTAGCCTGAGAATGTGATAAGGCCTAGACAGACCTGCGATGTTACTGGGACAGGCCATACAATACTCCAAAAGTGGTCCTTTAGGAAGGACATTCTGTTGGTCATAAAGAAGACAGGTCAGGGAAAGAGTATTTGAATGAACACAAACACATCATCAACACCAAGCACAAATGCATGGCATCATTTTTCTATATAAAGAACAGCCAAGAGCCAATTACTAGCAATAGTTGGACTTTCAAAAATTTCGAGGCTGCTTTGATGGATGATTCAACCTGACATTAGGAGTGCCAGTACCCCTTGAATGTTGAGAAGTGTCACACAGTACAAATGGATCAGGAAACCAGGCTCTGGGGATATATCTGCCCCTGCAGTCTGTGACCTTGGGCCGTGAGTCAATTCTCTTCATTTCTCTATTCATAAAATAAAGCAGTTGAACAGGATTTCTAAATTATCTCTTATCTCTCTGTTATAACAATGAATGCTGAGAGAAGGCATATTTTTTGGTCCACTTCCTTAAGAGTGAGAAAAACCCTGTCTGGCTCCTCTGTATCTTTCCCACAAACCCTGAGGCTTATAGGAGCGAACTGGCACACCCTGATGCTGTTCTTGAGAAACAAAGGGAAACTGCAGAGAATACTGTTTTTTAAATTATCTGAAGATTTTTTTTGTTAGTCTGGGCTGCTGGAAGTGAGAAGTGTAAGACAAATCAAAACAACCCAAGAAGTGAGCCCTGGCGCTTGGCTGCTTTTGTTACAACTTCAATATTATGTGCAGCTCTCATATGCCGAGGACAAGAGTGGAAATTTAAAGCAAGGACGTGGCTTCTCCTATTTCTTCTCCAGGAGTGATTATATTCCAAACTGCCAGTTTTCTTCAACTAGAGAGTGGTACAGTTGTGAGATATAGGCAGGGCCAACTCTAACAGTAAATGTGAATTGTAAATGTGAACTGTAAACAGTCTTTTTACAGTTTTGGTCACGCCATGCAGCATGCAGAATCTTAGTTCCCAGACCAGGGATCAAACCAGCACCCCCTGCAGTGGAAATGCAGTCTTAACCAACGGAACACCAGCAAAGTCCCTAAAGTGTCTTTTAAAAACACTGGAATCAGGAAAAAGATCTGTAATACCAAGTTTTTAGTTTTTTTTTTAATATTGAGAATAACATGTATACTGAGGTAGCATGAACAAAACAAAAGCAGTAGCATAATAGGCTGGTTATAGACAGAGCAGAGCTTCAGTGTTAGATCAGCTGGCTCAGCCTCACTTCACAACATGGAACTTTCTAGATGGAGTGATGTGTGAGTTAAATGAGACAACTGAGTTCTGACAGAGCTACTGATATGATCATGAAAAATGGTGCCTAACCTATAAATTACTATAAATCAAACCAGTTGCTACTTAAAAAGAATTTTAAAGTTACTGTTTAAGAGGATCTGACTATGATTCCTTTCAAACTGAAATATCAGACCCACCAGCCAGTTAAATAAAATCATTCATCATCACTGACTCAACGGACATGAGTCTGAGCAAACTCCGGGAGACAGTGAAGAACGGGGAAGCCTGGTGTGCTACTGTCCCTGCGGCTGCAAAGAGTCAGACATGCCTTGGCAACTGAGCAACAACAGGAACTTCTCTGTTTTGAGCGTCCAGATTAGTGATTTGAGCCTTCTTTGGGCTTGGGTCAGTGATGTGCTGTTCTGAAAGATGAGGCCTTACGTTTCTCTAAGACAGAAATGACCTCAACTGGAGATCCTATAATTGCCCTACCTTTCCTCCAGGGTCAAGGTCTCTATAGACATGCAACTTCTCTTGAGGAATTGTGTGCAAAAGTTCCTAGAAGATAACAAAAAGTAAGATTCACACGTGTTGTTTTTACATGCTTTCCCTTCTTATACTAGGACAAGTGGCCGTTGATTTTCACTACTGTTGATCTACTACATGGAAGTTCTTTTAAGTTGTGGCTTCTAATCTCTTATAGACTTGAGAATCAGATGGCCAAGCTTGTTAAGATCATACATCAGTCTGTAAGCAAAGGGCTCATAGCCCTCTTCCAGGAATCAAGTGTGCAGAAGTTGATTGTTTAGAACTTACAGTTTTAGTTCTTGGTTTTGCTGTTGAAGAGTGAGGTTGGCAGATAATGGGAAAATGACATCGGCTAACAATTACTGAGGGCTTACTCTGTGCCAGGAACTTTGCATTATTGGTTCTTACATTTCCCCAGCCACCTTAGGAGGGAAGCAAGGCTATGAGACAGACCTGCCCTGGAGGGGAGAAACTGATATGCAGTGAGGGTTAAGTAACTTTCCCAAAACTCCACAGCAGTGGACACACTATTCACTCTTAAGACTGACAGCATCCTGCCTTCCTATCCATTTGCATACTTCAGGGCACTGGGCTGGGGTCCATGTTCTGTTGATCGTCACTTCTTATTTCTAGTCAGGGAAATCAAGGCATCTCTTAAGTCCTGCAGAGTTGGAGCGGTCTCTTTCCTTTGCCATTCGCATCCCCTAATCTAACTTAAAATTTCTCATTTGAAAAAGATGGGTCTTGGACTGTGGTTCTGTGAGCTGTGCCCTCCTAAACGAAAAGGCTCTTTTGGGGACAACCTCTAGCAGAGTGCTGTGCAGACCACAGTTGCTGCTCAATCAATACTAGTTGGACAAATAAATGAAAAGCAAGTAAATCCTAACTGCAAATAATAGTTTTGTAAGAATATGAATGGTAGTCACTGGATGTTGGAGATATTTATTCAAGGACTCAGAGGTCTGAGGATTTCTGGGAACAACATAAATAAATGTAATGACCCAGAGCCCACACGGTTTCTTGTACCCCATTATATCCTGATTTGAAAACCCCTCAATACGGCTCAGTGTCTTTCTTTAACAGGGACTGTTAATGACAAGAAGCTCTGTGAGAGAATATGGAGAATGAGTACAAAGGACTAAAATACTCCCTGATTTTTCATTTTCAGATCCTGCAGTTTAGGGCGGAGATACAGATGGTCAGAGAGGAAGGCAAATCTTTTATAGCACCTTACTTGCTATTATTTCTTATCTCTGTATCAACAGGAAGAAGGCTGAGTGCACAAATTTAATAAGACTGCTACTTATTTAATGGCAGAGGTTGTTAGAAACAAGAAAAAGAGCTAGATATATTATCTGACGACTTTCCTTGTGAAATTCCTCTTTTAAAAGAGAGGCTGTGCTTTCAATGCCCCAAATATGGTCTTTTGCTACAAACATACTGGAAACTGAATGGAGAAAAATAAGATCCCTCTTGACTACAAGTAACCACCCACTTCAGTCTGTGTAACACTCCGGGATACAAAGAAAACCATGGACACAATGCTCTACGTGCAATTCCAGTTCACAAAAGCTTAGCTCTAGTGATGAAGAGAGAAAATGATTCATTCGCTGACCTTTTATGCAACCAGTGTGTCTCTTTGGGGTTCAGATTATGAGCAAAGTCACCAGCCTGCATGGGCTAAGGGTTGGCTTTGCGACTTTATATATTTTTAGCAAACAGGAGTCATGCCAGTTAAGGGAACTAGTGTTTACTGACAATAATCCTTTACTAACTTGGGGGCATAAAATAATCAGGGCTAAAAGCTGAAAGAAAAGTCTCTCCAAAGAGGGGGAAAAGAAAGAGTCTAAGGAATTCACTCCCAAATATGACCAAGTGCATACACTAAATATTAGATGCCTAACGTCAGAGAAAGGACAATAATGGTAAGACAAAGGTTCTCATTTACAGCGTCTTTTCATAGGGACTACTGAAAATTAAGTAAGGCTGTTCTTAGCTGCTACTGCTATCAATTAGCCAGCAGCCACTTCCACAGCCATAATAACTGCCACATGCCCGCCGCGTATTACCTCTGGGCCTGCTAATTCCAAACACAGGAGGTCGAGACTATGGACTGCACTCCACAGACCAGCACACAGCCAAATGCCCTGCTAGACAGATTCTGTTTTACAAAATGAAATGATTCAGTACGTCAGAATATTTTAGATAATTTAGCCTAGTTCCGCTCCTTAAACATATGAACTAGATTATGTACTTTGTAATAATTTAACCTTCACTTACCCAAACATTCTCTACGCATACAGCTCTGTGCACAACTCTGAGATTCTATTTTCATTCCTTGCAGTTTCACAAAATTTAAACAATGATTTTTGGTCTAAGTTACAAGGATATCCTGCCAATAAGGTGGTTCGTGTCATGTTTAAAGGCCTTTTTTTTTTTTTAATGGAAAAAAAAAAAAAATCAGTTCCATGAAACTGACACTTCACTTTGAAAGATGAAGTTATCAACACTGAAAGAAAAAAGAAACTGAAAGTGAAAGGTGCTCAGTTGTGTCTGACTCTGTGATCCCATGGACTCTAGTTCCTCAGGCTTCTCTTATCCATGGAATTCTTCAGGCAAGAACACTGGAGTGGGTAGCCATTCCCTTCTCCAGGGGATCTTCCTGATCCAGGGATCGAACCTGGGTCTCCCATATTGCAGGCAGATTCTTTACCATCTGAACCACTGGGAAAAGCCCCTTGAGAAAGAAAATCCTATCCTAAAGGGTCATCTTTGATACCTATGGAAGCAGCCCCCAGGCCCACTCCACGGCCTGTTTCTCACTCCAGCCCCTTCCGTGTGGGGTTCCTCAAATCCTAGCATGGACAGAGGTACCCGTCATCAAGGCATGAAATGCTGGGCAACAGTAAAGAGTTAAGGCTCCTCCTGAACTTCGGAAGAAACCAGATTTCGTCAGTGAGGTTTGGCAATGTGAGAAACCCTGTAACCAATTTCATTTCCTGATAAATGAATGGCCCACAGGGGAAAGTTGGCCAGTGAGTTTCAGAACTGTTGAGAGCTCAGACTTTACTGTGAGACTCCTTGAAGGAGCCAGCCTGTCTATTGCTTATCGCTGCTGGGCCAGCCTGCCCCGCGCCAACAGGGCAGCTGCCAGACTCCATTCACAGCTTGCTCAAGTGTAATTAAGAAGGCTTCACAAACATGTGCCCTTTAAGAAATGACACCCCCATGCCAGATCCCTTTCATTCTACTGGGCCTTTTAACCTGCATGGCTACAAACATATGCCTATTAAAATTATTTTAGAACAGCAGATTCAATCATCTTCATCATTTAAACTTATTCCACCCGTCCGACCAAAACCAATGAGTTTAGCTTTAGAACTGGGGAAATGCAATGCCTAAAAATCAACAAATACTTAGATAAATAAGAGAAAAATGCAGGAATTCAATCTGAGGGGAGTTACATAGAAAGTACCTCAAAGTACGGAAAAAACTTCACTGGAAAAGTAAATCGGGTAATTAATTGCAAGATCATTTACATTTTAAGCTTGGAAAGAAATAAATATCTATATGTTTAAGTAAATGAAAAGGCAATTCTCATAAATATAACCACAGATGTTGTATTTATGCTTAAAATGCAAACAAAAAATCTTAAAGAACATTTTTTCACATTAATTCAGAATTGGTCAAAGCATATGCTTAAAAATATGTGTGCTGACTTCAAGTAAATTTTCATCAAAGGTTAGCTTGACAGATTTAACATCACTAATTTAGGCTTGCTTAGAAAACACACACAATTACCCTAACATAAAATAGTTAAGTGAACACTTGAAGGCGGGAGAAGGGAAAAAGTTCTAAATAATGGCTTCAGGCCCTTAATTATAAAAAATAAAGAAAACAAAATCTGAAACTAGTGAGCTTTCAAGAGGCTCACAGGCTTAGACTAGCAGGAAGGAACCTGGACTTGATTAGCCTCACTCTCGCAAAAGCACGTCACAGCAGCAATGAGGAAATGGTCGAGGTTTATGGAGAGGGAGAATGCTAATTTCATCCACCAAGAATAACGCAGAAAACCCGGACAGAGGAAAAGCCAACAAGCCCTCTCGCTTCCTTGAGCATTTGATCTGTCTTTTTCTTTTCTTCATGGTTTTAGGACCAGAAGATGTATTCTTTCTTGGACTCCACTCTTAGATTCTTGGTGACACTGAGCTGAGCTGTCTCCAGGGCCAGATGAGCAGAAGAAGTCTATGCATTCACTTGCAGGGAGTCGGGAGTCAGTAAAGGTTTACTTATACCAAAGGTTAAATCATTTGGTAACAGAAAGGAAAGACTGAAGGGAAAGGGAGTTTCCTAGGTTCTTTAAAAACCATCTGAGTTGTGACTCCGATTAGTCATGTGACAGTTTATAAATCAAGGGCAAAAATAAAGTTTTCAATATTATGTTTATGAACCACTTCAAATGTCAATGATCTGCATATATAGTAACGGTGCATGGCACTTTTAAATTGAGAAAACCAGCACAACTGAAAAGGGTTTAATTTAAAAATAGGGCTCATTACCTGTGGTAAGAGAATGAGCCTGGCTCCCAACATGAAAATTGAGTTATTTAAAGGATAATCATCAGTGCTTTGTGGACAGAGCTACAAATGACTACTGAGTTTAATGGCCAAAAAGCACATCTGAGGCCTTTAATTAATCTCAAGAACTGTTTCTTGTAAATATTCTGCAAAGCACATGAATTTCTTATATGATAAGTTCCAAGAGAACTGAAACATTTTTCCACTTTCTTCTGAACGTGGCTGCTTTCCGTCAGTCTCAAGTTCAGGAGCTGGATGGCATGTGAGTCAGGGAGAGAGGAGCGGAAGGCTTCGAGAGAGATAACGTCAGAACTGCTGTGGAAAAGGCCTGACATGACTAGACTCACAGAGTCCTGATAACAGAGGTCGTTGATGAGCCCCGGGGTGGGGGAGGCGGGCAGGGCAGGGTTTCTTCAGATGAGCATCAACTCAGAGTCCAGGAGGTCAGGGACC